GCACAGGAACTTTTCAAGCACATGGCTGACTGTGCTCAAGTTCCAGACTCGATGACTTATTCGATTCTGATGGAAGGTTTATGCAAAAGTGCAGTAGTGCAGAAGGCTTTGAGACTGTTTCGAGCAATGCAGAGCTACAGATTTCAACATGGTATCTTCCATTATAATGTCCTAATTAATAGATTGTTCAAGGCTGGACAGGTTGACATTGCAAGGGGATTATTTGCTGGACTCTCTATGAAAGGCAAACAGCCAAGTGATCACACAAATATTATAATGCTAAGAGGACTTTACAAAGCAGGCTACCTGTTGGGATTAGGCCCAACGCCCTCTGAGAGCCGCATACAGTAGGCCCAACTACGTGCCCACAGGCCCAAGAGGAGGGGACATACCCACGTGGGCATCACCACGTGGGCCAATGAGAGGTTTACATGTGCAGATACATGTCAGCACTTGGGGCTATAAATACCCCCCAACCACCTCCAAAGAAGGTAATTAATCTCTACGCTTCTCTCTCTGCAATCACTCCTTGAGAGCCTCTCTCTCTAAAGTATTGAGTATTGCTGACTTGAGCGTTGGAGTGTTTTCCCCGAGGAAACAACCTCGGGATTTTCAGGTGTAGAAGCAGCTGAAGACTTCAACAGTGTTGGATTACGAAGCTGCCGAAACATTGGCGCCGTCTGTGGGAAGTCGAACAAAAAGCTGTGTGATTAGACTGGCTGGAAGACAAAATGGTCCGTACCTTTACAGGAGAGCGCCCTCCAAGAAATGAAATGGACGAACAGGAAGGCGGTCACGTATCTGAGGCCGGCTTGAACGACTTCAGGCCGATGCCAAGAAATCTTTTTGTAGGAGGAGCCGAACAGGATTACCTAAGTGAGACGGATGATGAAAGAACACCAACTGGGTATGCAACCCAGCCTGAACAGTTCCAAGCTCCAACAGGAACAAGACAAAGATCTGCCAGACCGAACAATTCACAGCGGGAACGACCTGAAAAGTCAACAGAACCTGCTCGCACAACCGAGCTCGAAGAGAGAACCAGAGTTCTTGAAATGGCGATGGGAAAAATCCTTGCTCGCCTAATCCCTGATGACCCCCTGATTCCTTTGCTGAACAGGGATGCACAACCGGCTGCGTTTGTTGCGACTAGAAACTCCCCCGCTCTAAGCAATATAGTAGTGCCGACCAGGCCTAGGGGAAGTGGGAAACTGAACATCGAGCCCAGCTCGTCCAAATACAGTGAAGAATTGATGAGAAAGAACGCAGACCTTGAAAGGCAACTGCGGGATGTACAGAAATCCATTGACGAGCTGAAAAGCCCCCGGTCGCATCAGCTGACCTT